GTTTCCTGGACTTCGGCTATCAGGGGCAACCTCCTTCTTCTGTTCACCCACAGACAGTAGGTTTCAATGTACGTTATCACTAGTTTTATATTTCAAGCTCTCTCTCTTTGCTAACGGAACTTGCATAATAATGGCTGCAATTTCAAGGTTTGGATGCAAATCTGCAGATGGCCTGGCTGAAGAATAATTATCACTGTTTTCGGAAGCATGTTTTTGTTGAAATTTGACCTTGGCGGGAAAAGACTCGTCCGGCTTTAAACTTGCCCCCACTGTGCTTGAATTAGAACCTTTGGGAGGTTTAACATCATCAGGGGTACACTTCCAGTTTTCTTGAACAGCACATGTTTGCCTTGCATGAACAATATCATACAATACAAACTCCGTCACCATGGAATTTATAAAAACTCCATCTTTGAGTTCCGAACATAGATAACAGGAAACTTGCATCTGTCCCACCATTGAAGAATCTCTGTCGCTACCATATAATCCCCAACCACTGGCATTGCTCTTTTTTCTACTTCCTATGGAGTGAAAGGTATACATCCAATTAATCGCATTATCTGCTTTCCATGTCCTGACCACAAAGACATCTTCTGAGCACTTCAACTAGAACTTAAAAAATGGCATTCCATGTTTATTTTGTAACTTGAGATGGCCATATAGGTGAACTGGTGAACATGCAACAGAAGATTGGTGGTTATCTCGGTTCGTAAACTGGGGTTCACAATCTGGACTCTCTACAGTATTTGAAAAGACTGGCAACACCGACTTTTGATGTGACCTGTTTGCCGGCACAGTAGTTTTGGCTCCACCAGGTTCCACTACGTAACTCGGAGTTCTCAAAGACTTGGACTTCATGAACGGATCAAACATCTTTCTAATAGGGCTTAACCGGGTCTTTGAGCTGACCCTGGACGAGCGTGCACTATCTGGTGGGGAAGGAAAAAGGAGCATTTCCACCTTAGCGGAGAAAGACTTGTGCAATGTGTGAACTTGGTCTCTTTCCAGAAGTTCATTACCATTGTTTAGAGGTCCAGCAACAGCATCACTTCTTAGTTTCAGATCCACTGAGAAGTCTCGTAAAGCTTCAGCAAAGTGCTTTTCCCTGTTATCTAGATCCATACAAATATCAATCAAGCTATCTGACAAACATGGTTCAACATGAGGCCATCCAACAGATGGTGCATTCAAGTCCGATTTCAAGTATACTACTGCAGACCTATTCTGTGAGCTTTCCTCATCAGAACTACACATGGTGTCAACAATTCGGTAAGAGAAAGAGGTGTCACTACTATGCGGCATTTGAACCTTTCTCCTTCCTTCGACAGTGCCCATTTTCTTAATATATTGTACCTCTTTGGAGCTTTGATATATCAAACCATGCTTAAGGTCTACATTAACAACAGGCCTAGATGGAACACTTTTACAAGAAGCACTGCGATAGCGATGAAAGGTGATTTCCACAAAATCCTCCTTTATGCTCAATAAATCATCTTTACGTTTTAATTTCCCTTTTGTGCTCCTGTTTTCAACATGGGATCGATGACCGTTAGTTGGAAGCACAGTGTTGGGACTCAAATTCACCGTGCAACTTCTATCAAAGTTCATCTCTAGTCCCATTGACAGATCGGAAACTCTGCAACAACAATGGAAACAATAACAAGAACAAAAATCAAGACCTGCATGATTGAATTTAATCCTAACAATACTGATACTGCTAAAAATGACATGCAATTTCTACAACAAAATTCTTTCCCCAAAATAGCCAGGAAAATACAAACAACAACAACAAAGCCTTATCCCACTAAGTGGGGTCGGCTCAGTGTGCCACTTACGGGTGACGACCTAGCGTTAGCGCAATTTTGTATAGGATTCATTATCATAAGGATTCGACATAAGAATGGAGTGCCGACTGTCGACTATCAAACGCCCTCCCCCTCCCCCTCCTCCTTTATCTGGGCTTGGAACCAGCAATGTAAGATAAACTTACACAGGCGGAGTATACACCAAAGAAAATAGGCAGTACATTGAATAAAAATAAATACACCAAAGAAAAGCTTTCAGCTGCAACAAAAACTGACATCGATGGCAGTTATTACATCTCATATGCCAAATAAATCAGATTTTTCATCTATTTTTCATGTTTTGCGACAGACAATTGGAAAGGAATATGCTTTCTGCAAATATTGATAAGAATAGAAGAAATTAGATTTTAAAGAGCAATTGAATTACACAAAAAATACTGATGGCATTGCATTTTTCTATCTGCAGAAATTAGATATCCTAATTGGCAAAATTCCTAAAATTCTTGAAAAAATAATAGTTGAATAATTCTCACCTTGGCAAAAACCATTCTTTGAAAAGGCACAAAACCCATCAAAGATTCCAAACTTTGAGATCACATAAACCTCAAAAAACCAGAACTTGATCTCTCCAAAAATGAAAACCCATAAACCAAACGCACACAAGAAATTCTATTGACTACAAAAGCACCCAAATGAGAAAAGCAGTACAGCTGAAAGCTACATATTCTCTAAAAAAATTAAAAATTAAAGAAAAGAACTTGCTTGTAATTTCACATGCATTTGAACTTTTGAAGCCAACAAAAAAAGTAATAGTTGCAGAAAATGAGCTTACCCCACCAGTAGATCTCTTAGATAAGTGAAGCCAAAGGAAAACCCACCAAACTACCATCAGATGCAATCATGTTCTTCAATCTCTTCCACTCAAATCTTCAACAGCAAAAACACATCAAACTCCCAAAAGTGTACCAAAAAAAAAAAAAAGTATATATATATATATATATATATATATCACTTAGGATAAAAAGGAAAAGAAGAAACTAATCAACAAGGCCTAGAGCAGTAAAGCATGAGAGACACAAAAAGTGAGGTCTAGAGAGGAAAAGGAAGATGATGAGGTGAGACAATGTATCAAGGAAGAGAAACCATGCCAAGAGAGAGAGTACTTCACAGTGAAAATCTTTGAGTCTCTCAAGTCACACACAAAGAGTTTTGTTGCATTGAAGAGATAAAGAGCTGTTGCGCTTCTGTTCATTGTCTCCTTCAACTCATCGTATGTTGTTTTTTTTTTTTTTTTTTTTTAGTTTCTTTATTGTTTTAAATTTTTTATTTTCTGGGTTAATAATTTATCAACAATGCCATTCTTACCACATTAATATATCACATTAGTATATCATATTATGTGATATCTAATGTGGATGTCCACATCATCAAATTAATCATAATTCAATTTAAATTAAAATCTATTTAATAAACTAATAATAAATAAATAAATCTGAAATTAAATGATATTTGTGGCATACGAGGAGTCTCCTCTCTTCTCCTCTCCTCTCCTCTCCTCTCATTCCTTCCCCATTGCTTCTTCTTCCGTTTCTTCTTCCATGCCATTTTTTTGTTTCAGCCCAGATTTTGTTCAGCAGCCTCGCCATTGATGGAAGCAGATCTTTTTGTTTCAGTTCTCAAACCATTGAGGTAAGAATGCAAACCCAACTTTCCGAAATAAAAAATCTGAAATCATTTTGTTTCAGTTCTCACTCTCTCTCTCTCTCTCTCCTACAGGTACAGGACCTGAGTAACCAGTCTAGCTTATTGCAAACCCAACTTTCCGAAATAAAAAAGAGACTAAGGTGAATACCTGAAAATTTGTTCATAGAAAAATGACACTGGGGGTTGAAGAAAAACCCGAAAATTTGGAGGACACTAACCACGTGATGATTATTAGCAACCCCATATATGAAGGTAATTATTTTTATTATTTATTGGCATTCAGGTTCTACTTATCTGTTAATTTGATTTAAGAAATTGGAGTTTTAGTTTCATTTTTCTTTTATGAAAAGCTTGGAAAATTTGTATATACCATTTACTGGAGGTCTGTAATTCTTAGATTAATAGAGTAAACAGAACGGTTTGAATGAAACCCACTCGATATAAATGTATATACCCCATGCATACAAACAAGGACATACATATTTTTATAGCTCTAAAATCTTCAACGAAGTGGGATATAACTTTTAAAAACTTTTAAGAAGTGCAATATTTATAAATTTGTAAGCAATTGAGATTTCCTTTTTTTGTTTTTTTTTTCTTCTGCTACTCGGTCATATTGTCATCTTGTTGTGCATCTCTTTCAAAATCCTGGTATCTAATTATCTGATCTTTGTGTTCCATTGCTTGTGTTTAAATTCTTCTTTTCATTGAAATTTCTACTGCATAATAATTTTAAGCAAGTTACATTTTTTCTATGTCTTATGAGATGTTAGTCTATACCTATAGGCTATTAATTAGCTTGTCCAATGCCCTCCCCAGTGATTGTCAACAAAGAGGTTCCATGAATTCTGCATTCGCCCCGTACAAACTTCTCCTCATTTTATTTTTCCGCATGGAAACTTTTTGTTTCAGCTACTCTCTTTGCTCGATTCAGTGCACCGTCGAACTCCTACGACAAGGACTTTTCACTTTCCAGTCTTTGTATAATTTAATTTTTCTATCTAAAACACTTAATTTTGTTGTGGGGTTTGTTTTCTCAGCCATTGCAGTGCATACACTAGAATTGAGAGACTTGCACATATGGCTAGTGTATTTACATTGATAGTATGGTGTAATATATAAACTTGTATAATTATGTTTTATGTTTTAGGAACAGGGAGTTCTTCTAATGAATTTACTGAAGAAGATGATGTAGTTGAAGTGACCTCTTGTAATGAAACAGAAAGTGATGGGGTTCATACAATAGAAACTTCTAATGAAAGTATTGAAGAAGATGATGTAATTGAAGCAACTTCTGATGCCACTGAAGCGGAAAGCAATGGGGTTCATGCAATTGAAAATAATGGGACTAACATGGAGAACACAATGAATGTGGAAGAAAAGGTCCAAGAGCCTCAAGTTGGAATGATATTTGACAACGTGGATTAAGTGGCTACATATTACAAGAAATATGGGAGACAATCAGGATTTCCAGTGATAAAGAGATCATCAATGACGGGAGATGATGGAGAATTGAGGTATATTACTATGTGTTGCGCTCGATCAGGTACATCAAAAAGTAATTCAAGTAATCCTCTTAAGCCATATCCAAGTATAAAGAATGATTGCAAGGCTCAACTAAGGGCAGGTTTATACTTGGGTGAGAAATGGCGAGTGAATTCTGTTAAGCTTGATCATAATCACGTGTTGAGTCCAACAAAAACTCGTTATTGGAAGTGTTTTCGGGAAGTTAGTTCTTCTGCAAAAAAGAAGCTTGAAGTGAATGATAAAGCCGGAATAAGGGTCAACAAAAGTTATAATTCAGTGGTGGTTGAAGTTGGGGGGCATGAGAACATGAAGCGTTTAGAAAAAGATTGTAGAAATTATATTGAAAAGGTGAGGCACTTACGACTTGAAGAAGGGGATGCCACTGCAGTTCAAAACTACTTTGTAAGCATGCAAGCTCAGAATGCAAATTTCTTCTATGCAATTGATTTAGACAAAAATGGTCGTTTAAGAAATGTATTTTGGGCAGATGCAAGGAGTAGGGCATTGTATGAAGAATTCGGTGATGTTGTAACATTTGACACGACGTAGTTGACTAATAAGTACGATATGCCATTTGCTCCATTTGTGGGAGTTAATCATCACGGGCAATCAATTTTATTGGGATGTGGATTGATTTCAAGGGAAGATACTAATTCCTTTATTTGGTTGTTTAAGACCTGGCTTGCTTGTATGTCTGGTTATGCTCCAAGAGGAATAATTACAGATCAAGACAAAGCTATGAAAAAAGCGATTGAAGTTGTTTTTCCTAATACTTGACATCGGTTGTGCCTGTGGCATATAATGAAAAAGGTTCCTGATAAGCTCAAAAGTTATAAAGAATATGAGTCTATGAGCTCTTCGTTAAACAACATTGTTTATGACTCAATGACTTCTGAAGATTTTGAAGAACGTTGGGCTGAGATGATTGAAAAATATAAGTTTAAAAAGCAAGCACATAAATGGTTAAGAAGCTTGTATGCAGAGAGACATCATTGGGTGCCTGTGTATGTGAAAAATAAATTTTGGGTTGGAATGTCAACGACACAAAGGAGTGAGAGCATGAATGCATTTTTTGATGGCCACGTGAACTCAAAAACTACTTTAAAACAAATTTGTGGAGCAATATGAGAATGCATTAAGGAGTAAGGTGCTAAAAGAGGCTTCTGCAGATTCTGATTCTTTCTCTTCGAATGTTCATTGTGCAACTCATTATGACATGGAAAAGCAAGTTCAAGCTATTTACACGATTTCAAAATTCAAGGAGTTCCAAAAGGAATTGACAAGTATAATGTATTGTGACAGGGTTTCAATTGAAACTGATAATGCGATTTTGGAGTACCAAATAGCTGAGCGTATTCTGATCAAGGAGAACAAAAAGAAGACTGTCATTTTCAAGGTCCAGTTTAACGAGTGTGAGATTGAAGTTAATTGCAATTGCTGCAAGTTTGAGTTTAGAGGTATAAGTTGATAAATCATAACATGCTTCACTTGTGACTTTTGTAGAAATCTATGGAAAGTGATGCAATATGCCATATTGATGGTCCACCTCCTTGTAGAAGTGATAACATAATTGCAACACAAGAGAGTAATGTCGTTGTGGAGGTATGTGATAAATATATTGATCTTCTTGTTATCTTTTTACTTAGTTAATAATCATTGTCATTATAATTACTATATTTACTCTTTGTAATTGTAATTACTTTTATTCTTTGGGATTTAGCGTTCTCATCTTACACAAGGAGTTCAAATTTGCATGCCGCCAACCAATATGCTATTTTCCCCCATACTAATGTAAGTTGTGCATTTTGTCCTATTGATAGTGATTTTGAATTGCTTGTGTTAGCTATTGAATAAATATTACCTATTGTAGGAAAACATGGCTTTATTATTGGGACTCAGTCGAGGTAGTCATCCAAACCCATTGTACAAAGAGTCTAAGATTGGAAATATAAGTTATCCTACTATTCATGGAAATTATGTCCAGGTAAACATTGAGAGGATGCATATAATCCTTTTGTTGTTATTAATTAAATATTTATTTACATCACATAGTATAATGCTCTATCTGTAGTTCTTATGGTTTTTTTTTCTCTCTTTATTTAGGGTCAACAATATCCATACTGGAATGGAGGTTATAGTATGTACAATATGCATAGCTCTACTTCAAGAGGAAATGATGACCAAGAGCTTAACTAAGCAATGGAAGCAACAATGAAAGCAATTTCTTTATGCAGTTTGAGTTTTTGTGGTTTTGGATCCTATTTCTTCTAAACATAGACTTCAATGCATTTCAAATATTTTGTAACAGTAGCCAGTATGTAGACGTACGAAATGCCTATATCAAAACACCGCTTTCTAAAGCTATAAACCAAAAACCAATTTCTTCCAAGATTCAATCTTGCAATCCTGCAGCAACGCTTATAGCTCAAGAAGAATGCAGAGCACAAATATTCATAATCTGATCATGAAAATGTTTCTACTTTTTATTCACACTTACAAGTTGTAGAACAATATTGATTGACCTGGTAAATCTACTGTATACAAATAGTGTCAAAAAAATTGGAGCAAAATCCAAACCAGAAAAAAAGTACAAAAAATCTTAGAACAAGAATGTTCGTCATCTAACTGCAGAAGCAACAATATGAGCCCACTATTTAAGATTGTCTTTCATGTCAATTTCATTCTTCAATGCAGAAAACCTCCAATTCATCAATGGCTTTTCTATCTTCCTCTTTGATAGGAGCATATTTAGGCGACTTACTTAGCTTGTTCTCGTACATTTACGTTATGTTTCTTTAGTTATTTTAGTTCTTTATGCTTCTTTTGTGTGTTTTCAGGATTATAAGACGTGTTTGACGAAAGGATGCATTGTGGAATGTTTTGGGGCCTTTTTGGAGCACTATTGGGCTAAGGATGGATAGCTTATTCTTGGAGCCCAAGTGTTAGATGAAATTGAAGGCCTTGTATGCACTTGAGGACACAAAACAATGGCCCTAACCCAATTACAATCACATTGCCATGGGCTTAACACAAACACCATTCCTTGCCATGCAAGGGGGAGCAATTTGGGTCCATTTCATGCACTTAAACCCTAGCCCAATTACACACCATTGCAGCCAAATCCATTCTTTGTCATGCACATTCACCACCAATTCAACCACATGCACTTATTCCTCCATCATTACACACCATTGCAGCCACATGCACAAAACACCATCCTTGCCGTCCAAACACATGCATTTCCCTTGCCATTTTCTACCATCACACTTCATCATTGCAGCCACCATCCATCCTAGTTGTCAATCACATACTTTCCCATTAAATAATTCATCCACATGCATCTTTAACCAACAAACAAATCAGCCACAATGCACCAAAACATCCCATGCCGTGACTTCCTAGCCAATTCCAGCTTTTCCCTTTACAATTCACATGCATTCCATACTTTTCCTAGCTGTTTTCCATCATTATTTCAGCCACCATTCACCCTTTATTTCACATACACTTCACACAAACAACATTCACATGCATTCACATGCATTTCCAACACAAAATACACTCAAAACCGTGGCCACCTTTGCATTTCAGATTCCCATTTGCATTTTCAGATTTCCAGCTTTCCAACCTTTACAATTCACATGCATTCATTCATAATCATTCACCAAACATTCAGCCACATTTCCACCCACCTCCTAGCTGTCATGTTCCCTCCATTACTCCTATAAATACCCTTGCATTCATTCATTCATTTTTTCATTCCATTCACAACACAACACACAACACAAACACACATCCCTTGCCGTGAGTTTCCCTTCCATTTCTCCTCCATTTCTTCCATTTCCATAAATTCCCCAATCCATTCAACACACCAACAACATCCCTTAAACCTTGTGCTACAACAACGAGGAAGAGAAGAGTGCCTAAACGTTCATACAATTCAAGTTTTGAGTTGTTGGAATGTTTAGGTGTTTCTTTGATTTCAAAGTTTCATTTTAATTCTCTTTGTTTTGTATGTATGGAAGAGAAGAGTGCTTAAACGTTCATACAATTCAAGCTTTGAGTTGTTGGAATGTTTAGGTGTTTCTTTGATTTCAAGGTTATGAGGAACTAAACCCCCTTTAGGTAGGGGGTGATTCGAAACTATGTTTATATTTGCAATATGAATTGATTAACTTTCGTTGGAATTTCATAAGTTGTGGATTCAATTTGTTTAACCGTTTGATTGATAGCTTATTTATGAATGTTTATTAAGAATGCGCGCTTAATTTTCATGCATAAATATGACGCTAGAATATAAGTGAATTTCACCTAATCGTTATGAACTTATATTCACAAGTAGTGGAGGTTGCTTATAAACAATCGTGTTAAACATATTCTTGGCACGAGTTTCATGCTCATCATAGTAACGAATGCCTCGTCAACACTTATAGTTTTCATAATGCTTAATGATCTTTGATTGTATCTTTATTGTGCTGTTCACGTAAAGGACTTTTGGAGAATGTTGTGAATTGCGTTGCGCAAACCCATCCAATTCATTAACTTAAGGAAAACTTGACGGTTAATTTAAGCGGACCTAATTAATCCGGAGTGTTGAGTATCATGATTTATCGAAAGACCAACTGAGAATCAATCTTGTACGCAAGTATAACATGTGTGGAGAAGAACCCCTTAGCTAGCCTTCATTCCATTCATTCCATCACAATTTCATATTTACATTCCGCTTAGTTTGTTAACTTGCTTTGTTATTTCAATTTCCGCCAAATCCATATTTACAATTTGTTTTATTTTCAAGTTTCCATTTTTAGTTTAAAATCGTCCAAATCCAATCCCCCTTTACTTTATTGTTCAATTTAGTTAGAAATCATTTTAGTTCGTGTTTTTAATGCATTTTGAGTCTTTTGGTTTGTCTTAGTGTTTTAACGTTTAGTTTCACATTCTTTGAATCTAGTTTAGTGTTTTATCTTGTTTTTACATTTTTGAGTCAGTTTCCAAGGTTTTAGCAATCCCTCCTAATCCCCGGTCCAGAACGATCCCTACTTACATCCATACTACAATTGTCAAAAAGAGGGTTTAATTTGTGTGTGTATAAATCTCGCATCAAATTTTGGCGCCGTTGCCGGGGATTAGCAACTTTGCTAGTCCCTTGTCTTTATTTTTTATTTTTATTTTTATTTTTTTTTGTTTTTCGTGAATTCCTATTTCAGATTCTTAGTTTGTTTGTTTTCTTGTTTTTCAGGTACTGTGTATGACTCGTAGCTCTCGACCTATTATAGAGAACATCTCCGACTTTGACGGTGATTTTGAACGCACTTTGAGGAGAACGAGGAGTCAACAAGAGCCACCACAACCTCCACCACAACCTGGGCTTGAAGAGGACGAAGTAGGTGTAGAAGAAAAGCCCACTGATCAAATTTTTGAAGAAGAACAAGCCATGGCAGCAGATAATAGAACCATCAAGGAGCTTTCGGCCTCGGGTTTGGATAATGCATTGCCTCTTTGTATCCAATACCCCACGGCTGCAGAGGGGACGACTGAGGTGTTTGAACTCA